CTATAAATAAACGGGCTACATAATTATACGTTACAGCAGAGAAACTGTACTCAAGCCTACTTGAACGTTGAAAAAATAAAAAAAAGGGGGTGGGGGGCTATACCTGAAGGCTATCTCGCTTATTACTTGGCCGAGGTTTACCAAATTTCACACGTAAAACAAGCAAAGTAAAGAATCTTAAAAACCGCAATCCAATTTGAGAAAAAAGTTTCTTTTCCATGGATACGGCGCCATATTGGATTTTGTTGACATGGCTTGCGTGATGAATACCGCACTTATTACTCATGGAAATTGATTGTTTGTTTTTTATGCATGCGTGTTCACAAACATTAGATCTAAAATTTGTGTGTTGTTTTTTCCCCAAACGAATTTTTTTAAAATTAAGAATTTCTTTCTGGGGTACCATTCAAGTTTGCACTCAAGACACCATCAACAAAAACTATTTCAAATATCAAAATTTCAATAGACAAATGTTTAGTATTACATCTTCTCTTCATTCTGTGAAAATTTCATGAAGATTGGATGAAAAATGGTGGAGTTATTCAAAAAAATATAGAGAAAAGTTGCGTTTTGAGAAAACGGCCGGTAAAAAAAAAAAGATTGACTTTATGAGGAAATGGTGGTGATAAACATGCCCGGTATGGGAAAAATATGGTTTTTAGGGGTTCTTATGAGATGAAATAGTGGTAGGAGAGGCTGAGGAAGCAAAAAATGCCTATAACTCAAATTTCATAATTTTGAGCCGAATCGGGACTTTGGGGGTGTGCCCCCCCCCCCCCCCTTGAACACAGGTGGCAGAGAGAAGAAATTGCGGGAATGTGGTGGCAGTTCAGGGAGGGTGCGGGTGGTGTGGAGAACACCCAACTACGAAGTGAAACCGAAACCGAAAACGAAACCGAAAACAAGTCAGAGTTCGAATCTACAGTCGAAATCAAAATTAAGAGGTCGTAATCGATATTGAAGGCGAACTTTGGTTCTGAACTGTGAAGCATGGGATGCTTTCGAGAAGTTTCGTTTCGTTGCAGAACATTCTCGAACGTAGATTATTATTTTATCAACACAGTCCTTAATAAGCAGAACTGTTGCTTTATGTCACCTTCACCCGGTTTTTTTTTTTGCGGGGGTAAGATAGAGATAGATAGATAGATAGATAGATAGATAGATAGATAGATAGATAGATAGATAGA